TCAAATCAGCTTCAACTGATTGGTAATCAAAAGTTAAAGAAGTGTAAAGCGAGTTGGAAAGGAAAACAAAAGACCAGCAAAACAATAGAATAGTTATTATTGTCATTATATTGTTGCGCAATAACCTAAGAATTTGTAGTGCATAGTGGTACAATTAATGCAACAAGATTCAAAACGCAGTTATTGAGACAGTACAACACTGATCACACAATATTTCTTCTGTATTCGAAAACATTTATTTCCCGATACGTATTTAAAACAAGCAGTAAAGGTCAATAAAGCAGGATTTAATGAATTCATCAAATTTCTGCAGAACTCCTCTTCAGCTGAATACTATACATACACGGATATATATACTTTTGGAATTACATTGGGAGATATAAGACTGATAAGTAAACAAACTACATTGAATTAATCATGCAGAAAGACATGTGCGAATGTTTTCCAGGTCATGTTCAAATAGATAAGGGGAGAGAGAGTATGAGAGATCAAAATTAAGATAAATTGCATTACGCTTCAATTACATCACTTAGATAAGCAATTAGTCATTAGGGAATATAACGAGAATTGCAAACAGACTAATATCAATAGTAATAGTTATAATAACAATTTTAATAGTGTTGAAGTGAGTTAAGATAATCTTACTGATAAAGCATAGTTTTAAATGAATCAAGAATAATAACAATGATAATAATAGTAACAATAATAGCAAGAAGAAGAGGTAGAATAATAGTAATAACAAGTAAAACGTATTACCATGGTAGATTCAGAGTGACGACCATCTCCTTTTGTATACAGAGAGCTGGTTTGTAAATTCGAATTGCACAAGCCTCTGCAATTGCAAGCGTCTTCTTGTTTCTTTGTTTACTGACAATGGTGAATGACTTGATCGCGTGGATATCTTGTCCGTAGTCCACAAGATGTTTTGTTATTGAGGATTTTGGCACTTTTCACTCGGCTGTTTTCAGTCATTTTGGCAAATGCTCCATCGTGCGAGTAGACAATTGCCTTTACATAGGTCGTACGGAAAGGCGATTGTCTACTCGCATATGGTGGGACTGACAAACAAATTACTACTGTCAGTGAAATTCTATCGAAACCTTGATTTGCAAATACAATTACATCAGCATGTGTTACTAAAGATAGCTTAAGCTTCCATTTATATAGTAATGGCTAGCAGTTGAATTCAGGTTAGCTATTCCCCTCTTCTTTTTTATTCCTTTACGTTCCCAGTGGAACGCAGGGCTTCAAGGTAGAGCTTTGAAGTTTCTTTAGCAGTGTCTATTTTTACGGGATGGGGTTGCTAGCCTCATGCCCAACCTTCCCTCTTTATCAGTCTTATTGCTAGCTTAGCGAGCTAAAGGAGTGCACTGGCCGAGGATCGAACCCTGACCCACATGAGGCGTGGTTGGTGAGCATTCTATCACTGTGCCACTGACGCACACACTCGCTCTCTTACCTAATTCTTATCATATGGATATAACTACCTCTTGGTCAATAATAATTTCTTTTTTTTTTCCTTTCACTCTAAGCTTATCAAACGAATATCTCAGAATAATAAATAATTAGCTTCACTTTTGTTTTTTTGTTTTTTTTTATGACTAAAAGCAGTCTTTTCAAAACAGCCCCAAAAATGTTATACTTTAGAAATTATTGTAGAAAGAGAACAAAGACACTTGGCTTTTGTTTTGTGTTTGTTTTTGTTTTCATTATTGTCAGCACCTTTTATTCTTTTCTGAATGAAGCAAAATAATAAAAAAGATCTTCTTTCTTCTTCTTTTATTAAAACCTTCTGAATTCCTTATTGCGTGGATCGTAAGACTTTTAATCTCTTTTGCCAATGTGGAACTTGTTAACTTCACAAAGATTACATTGTTATATCAGTAGCAAATAATTAGTAAATATAAGAAGTAGACTATAATTTCTATATGTTTTATGTGAATGAAACTATTAATTAAGTAGGTAGAGTAAATTATAGTGAAAAACGAATAAGAAGGAAAACAAAAGATCAGACGCCAAAATAGACTGATAGACTGTTGTTGTCCACAACACGTAGAGCGACAGAGAGAGAGAGAGAACTAACTAGATATGACGTTGTAGACTAGTGTTTATGCCAAAAGTTTTGTAAAGATTTTAAAAATTCTTATTTCATCAGATAACTTATTATCTGGTGATTAAAATTACGAAGTAGTCATTTTCTTGTGTTTTGTGAAAACGGTGAAAATACTGAGGATGTATAAATGTGATTACCTGAGATCACTTAGTTGTATTCACTGACAATCTATCAACTGAAGATTGTCTCAGAGAGTATCAAAGTTGATTATCAGCCTGCCCCTCACTTTCTTACTGATTTAGCATGATTATGAGTCACAGGGGAGCTTATTGAGTTGATTGTGTGATGAAAAACCAATAGTAGTTTATCATTTATTCAGAGGTAGGGTTGGAAAAGCAAGGCGTTAAGTAAGCTTTATTAATTTGAAATCAATATGGAAATCTGCTGCATTCAGAATGAAGAAGAACATTCGGATTTTCAGCACTAATGTATAATCAGTTCTTGTAAATGTGGTTCAGAAACTTAAAGCGTTTCTGAAAGTATTCTGCAGACTTTTATCAACATGGTTGCCCTAACTGTATGCTGAGTATCAGCTAGTCGACTAGAGAGGATAAATAACAAGGAACTCCAGTAGGCAGAGAACCAGCCAAGAACTTATTGTTCAGCAAGTATGCAGAGGGGAATGGGAATGATTTGGATAAACGCTTGTGAGACAGTTGATTGACATCACGTACCAGGCTTTAAAGTAAAAACTAAACAGGAAACTAAGAGTTGGGTTTGTATCCGAGGATGACATGGAGGAGGTCATATGCAGTGGAGAGGATGAGTGCTAATAGGCCATTGCGGATTCAGCTAAAAGGGACTCCACAGAACAGGATAAAATGGAGATGTACTATTGAAGCCATATGTTCTACTCGGAACTCAAGGGAATATTAATAATAATAATTAGTTACTAACTGATTACGAGATTATGACGTCATAGTTGTTTTGTTTACGAGTTTGAAGAAGTAATCTATAAGATCAAACGTCTATAAATACGGAAAGTTCCAATCAAGTCTATATAGGTCATAGAATAATAACTATCAATGCAAAAGAATGTGAAGCAAAATACAATGACTGTTAATTTTGCAGCGAAACCTACAGTTTTCGACTCCATACATATTAAACATAAATTAAAGGCTTCAAGCTAATATTATGTAATAAATAATTAAAAAAGTATAAATTCCCTTTTTATTTTGATCCTGAGATGGACTTCATTTGTTAACTTGCTATAGAACATGAAGATTTGAAATATCTATTCAGTATCTGTATGATAATTTCCTAACTCTCAATCGGTAATTTCTGTATTACCTTCCCGCTTGAGGATAGGGTTTCAAACTCCAGATTTCCAGTAGCCAATGTATTGTCTGAATTTCACCGACGATATATGTTTGATTTCCTACAAACTGGAAGACATACAGGTGAAAAGCAACAAGTTGACGGAAGAAGCATCAAAGATAGGACGGACTTCAGGTGAACATAGGGAAAACATAGGTGATGAAGATTCCTGACCAACAGCAACAGCAGCAACTACAGACAACAATCAGCATGAGCGAGAGAAATCTAAAAATGCTGCCCACCTACCTGAGAAGCATCGTTTCAACTACGGGCGGATGGAACGGATGAGGACATCAAAGCGAGGATCGGGAAAGCAAGTCAAGCTTTCGTTTCTCTCAAGTTTTTGTGGAGATCAACAGCACTCAGCATCAAAAATAACATCCGGATTTTCAACTCTAGTGTAAAGTCAGGGCTACTTTAAGGATCAGAGACTTGGCGCGTCACGAAGGTCACTTCGAACAAACTACAGATCTTCATCACCAGCTGTCTTCGCTCAATACTCAAGATCAGGTGGCTGGCCAGAAAACAACAACAACCGGGATTTCTGGTAATGAGCTAACCAACCCAGCAGAAACCGACTGTGCAGTAAATATGCAGGAAGAAATGGAGGTGAATTGGCTGTACTCTGAGAAAACCATGAAGTAATATCTCACGCCAGGTTATCACTCGAGTGTAACTCGAATGGGAAGCGGCGAGTTGGTCGTGAGTGCGAGGGTGACAGATAGTTAAACATTTGCTTTGAAATCTCTATCTACTTTGTAAAATCATCGCTAGAGCACAAGATATCTGACTGCAGACAATTGTTTACAATTACCTCCTATCACTAAGTATTCTTCAAAGATTCTAAACTGTAAAATTCAGTCACTGAATTTGTCCTCTTGCAGAACGAGATGATGTGTGTAATGTAATATTCAGTTAATTAGTTATTTGGTTAAACTATCTGTCTGATATAGCATTATTTGTTTCTACTGTCGCTAAAATCTCCGAAAACAATTATTTAATCTTTAGATTTTCATATTTATGGGGATTCAGATTAATCTGAAGTGTCAGACTTACTCATGAATACAATCAGTTAGCGAACACTGATGGCATTGGAAGCACTGGATGGCCATTTCCTCCTGGTATTGGTTGGCAACGAAACCTAACATTTGAAACTAACACGAATTCCCACAAAACCGACAATCTAAGTAACAATATTCAGCTTACTGACAGCCACTGCATAGATTTCCTTCAGTTATACCGAGTATTTATGTCCAGTGGGGTCTACTGTGTCAAGTGAAGCGGAAGCTTACCAAAGACACTAGTGATGGGTAATGCTATATCATGAAATGACAGAAGTTAGAATCCATACGTCATTAAATTCCAGCCCAAGTGGCTGAATGATCAACCTGTAAGTCCCCAGTCCTATCCCTAACGAGGTGGTGGATGTGCACAGATGGAGAGTTACAAGCCAGGATGAAACACCTGTCCAATGCTCCCTTGTTTTTAATCATCTGGTGAGAAAATCTAACAACTGAAATTAATCAATCAACTGAATCAACTGTTACCAAATTTTGTTTTATTCACTTACCCTTTACCAAGAAGAACTTCTGGACTGCAAAATTCTATTGTCCCTGAAATATCCATTCTAATCTCTCCAGGTAATACTTGTATAGCAGAACCAAAATCAATTAATTTTAAATGAAATAAATCATCAATTATAATATTTTCATCTTTTATATCACGATGAGCGATATTTAATTGATGAAGATAGTTTACAGCTGACACGAGCTACATAAAAGTTGATTTAAAACAAGCAAACAAATATTGATGAATAATTTGAATATATGGGGAGAAAATTTTGGTAATTCTTAAAATAGGTGTAATTAAAAAACGATATTTTCATTAGAAAATAGTTGGAAGTCAAGGGGTAATTTATTTCGTCCTAGTTTAGGACTCTTTAGCAGTGTAGGCATTTAATTATGCAAAACAAAGAATGCAGAAATGTCTCACTATAATGCAAATTTGTGATAGTTCAGTGCATGAGTTGACTGAAATTCATTAGTCTTTTATGTCTAAATAAATGTAGGCTTACAATGCGTCCTGTAGTTCTGAGGATAGCGAGGAGGTCTAAATTTAATTGCCAACTGATGAACCCTAATGTCTTGCCTAGAAAAGATGGATGGTTAGGTGTAAGGCTATTAACCCCACCCAGTGAGAGAAAGACATCATGGCTCCTGAAACTTTAACACTCAAAGTCCTATGTTCCACTTTTGAGGAAATGAATTAAGTAAAAAACAGAAGGAGACATTGCGAAGTGGTCGGGCTATGTTAGAATTCACGGGACTATTGAATCAGGTCTCCACGGCTTAATAGTCTGCGACCTGGCCTTGTTACCAGAAGGTCCTGTTTTCGAACCCCGTTGGTGGGTGCGTACTGCTGAAGAGTCCCAAACTAGGACGAAACAGTTGTATTTAATGTTACTGAATTCATAATAGTGAGTTAATTTGGTTAAAATGCATAAATTCATTTCAAATATGCTTTGCTTATGTTTATAAAAATATTGTTTGTTTACACTAGATCTCATGACTAAATATTCAGTTATCATGTTTTATTACATTTCCTTTATTTACCCTATAAATAAAACAACAAATTAATGATAAAATGGTTAAGTTTGTTTTTCACTTTATTTAGGTCTTTATTGAGAAGTATGCGTAAATTGGGATCAGAGTGGAGATAGTTTCTTATTTTATAAGCTATGATATTTTGGATTTCAGATGAACTATTCTATAACACGAAAAAGGACTTAAGGAAATTTCATTTAGTGTGTATTTTAAGCTTGGTTTAAACGATAGAAATTTGTGAAAAAAACTAAGATTTGGTTTGATATTTCTTTACTGTTTAAGACTTGTCAACATGAGTTTATAAATTCACTTATTACTGTGATGCTAGTTTTATTGGTTGCTCAAAGAGTAGGCTTTGTAACATTAACTTGACATTATCTGCCGTAGTTATCAAGAGGACAACGTAGGGTAGTTACTAGCTCAATTCTCGACGGCCTGATGAACTCAGGTGACGTAGCTCCACCAGAATCATCTTCTAAAGTTGTCTACATGGTGAGGCGGAATGATACAAGAGGTGTTAGATTTCAAAGAAGAGAACACGAAGTTCAGCAAAGATATCTTTTCGGGATTTCATTTTCAAAAACTGTACAATCGCATTTCAATACATAATTTTACATGGATACATTTTCTTGTTTGATTATACATAATTACGGCAGCGAATTTATTATATTTATTATTATTTTATCCTTTAATTCCTAGAGGAACATAGGGCTACAGCCACGAGTTTCCATTGTCTTCGGTTTTCTGCCAACTTTCTCACTCCGCTCCAATTCTGCCCACATGCTTTCATTTCCTCTACACATGACCTCCTCCAAGTCACCCTCGCACTGACGGTCAACTCGCTGCTTCCTTTTTGGGTTCCACTCGAGGGCTTGTCTAGTGATGTCACTCACCTGGTGGTTTCCTCAGAGTATGGCCAGCCAATCCATTTCCATTTGTTCCTGCCTATTTGTTCCACAATCGGTTTCTGGTTGGTTCGCTCATTGCCAGAGATCCCTGTTGCTGATCTTTTCTGGCCAGCCATCTGTTCTTGAGTACTGAGCGAAGATGGCTGTCCACGAAGGTCTGTAGTTTGTTTGAGATGCTTTTTATGACGCGCCAAGTCTCTGATCCGTATACTAGCACTGACTGACTTCACATTAGAGTTGAAAATCCGGATCTTATTTTTGATGGTGAGTGCTGTTGACTTCCACACAGACTTGAGAGTAATGAAAGCTTGTCTTGCTTTTCCGATCCTCACTTTGATATCCTCGTCAGTTCCGTCTACCTGTAGTTGAAACGATGCTCACCAGGTCGGTAGGTGAAGGAGGTTGTTTCTTTCAGGTTCCTCCCATTTATGCTGATTGTTGTCTGTTGTTATTGTTGCTGTTAGTGTTGGCCAGGAATCTTCACCACTTATATCTGTTTTCTCTATGTTCATCTGAAGTCCTATCTTTGGTGCTTCTTCTGCTAACTTGTTGCTTTTCACTTGGATATCTTTCAGTTTGCGGGAAATCACACATACATCTTTGGCGAAGTCCAGATCCTCCAAGTTTTTTGTGTGAGTCCATTTTATGCCTGTTTCCTCATTGCCCGTTGTCTGTCTCATTATCCAATCTACAGCGGATAAAAGGTGATAATTATTTTCAACTAGATATGGTTTTTACGATAGGCTTAGAAACAAAATCACACAGGATTAGAACGGATAACAAGTGTGTGAATGTAAGCATGCGAACAAAATTGAAATAATAATTTTCAAATTGAGATGGGAGTTAGGAAGTGTGAATATAGATTACAAAAGCCTTAGAAACAAAATTACTTGTCACACCTACCAACTCCCATCTCAGTTTGAAAATTATTATTTCAGTTTTGTTCGCATGCTTACATTCACACACTTGTTATCCGTTCTAATCCTGTGTGATTTTGTTTCTAAGCCTATCGTAAAAACCATATCTAGTTGAAAATAATTATCACCTTTTATTCGCTGTCGTAATTATGTAAAATCAAACAAGAAAATGTATCCATGTAAAATTATGTTTCGAAATGCGATTGTACAGCTTTTGAAAATGAAATCGCCGAAAAGATATCTTTGCTGAACTTCGTGTTCTCTTCTTTCTAGTGTCCATATGGGTGTTAGATTTCGACACATGTGTATGTCATAGACCCCAGTAATTCGTCAATATAACACATGGCCTCTGTGTGGGGAGAAAGTTGGTTCACTTTCTTATTCTACTATAATCTTAAACTTTTTTCTACTTGTTTGCTTTTAATTTTAATCATTAATCCATTGTTACTACCCATACATATTCTTTTTGATCATTTTACCAAGTTTTTTTTCACCATTTTCACACTTGTCAAATGGATGATACTCAACTGCATTATTTCTCACCGGATAGCAGTTTTCATCATATCAAATCTCAAAACCTTACTTCCATTGTGTTTCTGAGTATTATGTAATTTAAGAACAATAAAGTTTAGCAAAGAGTCTGTTTTCGGTGAATTCATTCAATTAACTGTACAATCATATATATATATATATATATATATATATATATGTATAATTGTTTTATGTGAGCGTAGAATAGGACTGTCAAACAAAAATAGAAAGGGTTATTGTTTGCGTCATTAAAATGTTTCTAAAATATGATCAATAATCAAAATTGTAACTAGGTTGGGGGAGGGGTGAAGATTGGTAAGTATTGACAAAGGTTGCGTAATATGAACACGTATCTCCATTGACATCATATTTCATATTACGCAACCTTTGTCAATACTTACCAATCTTTCCCCCCCCCAACCTAGTTACAATTTTGATTGTTGATCATATTTTAGAAACATTTTGATGACGCAAACAATAACCCTTACTAATTTTTATTTAGTTTTATGTCTGTTCGCGCCCATAAAACTGTTATATATAAATGTGATTGTACAGCGAATTGAATGAATTCGCCGAAAAGAGACTCTTCGGTGAACTTTGTTGTTCTTATATTCATGTCTGGATGGGTAAAATGTACCTTTTTTTACCTTTTGAAACTACTTTTGAATAACTGAACCAATTATATCATCTCCTGTTACTCAATAGTGGGCTGCTATACGTTTTCGAAAAATATAAATACTAATAGAACACGATTTAAGCAAATACGTATTTTCATTAGATTCTCGTCAGGCCTTATATTTACATACTGAAATATTACTCACAAGTATTTGAATTAAAATGATTAATAAAGTATAGATTGTGAATTAATGGATAACAATCGAGGTGATTATAATGATGATAATAATAACAAGGATAAATTCATTCAAGTGTTTATATAACCTATGCAATGATGAGTGTACAGACAAAGTGTGTATACTAGTAGAGGTAGGTAGGGAATAGTAATTATCATATGGCGATTAGATAATATAATAATACTAAATTGTGAAACCGAGATTAAAATGTACAACTACAGAACAGCATGATATTGATAACCTAGTTAGCAGTACAAATAAAATTAAGATAATAAGATAATATTTGAAATTACCGGGTGTCACCGGGAGAGATAACTGTTTTAGGTTGTGGACGAAGATCAAGGCAGCGAGACAGATGGAACAGACTGTCTCTGGACATAGAAACTGGGATGAAAAATCTTCATGTCAGCTGCCTCAGCTGTGCTTAGCAACCGAAGGTGAACCAACCTAGGGAGTTGAGGTTGTACCTTGTGTAGAATTGTAAAAGCCGAATTTTTGTCAATCTCGTGCTTCGCATCCACTAGATGTGCTAGTATGGAATTTCTGATTTACTTTACGACTCTACTACCTGACCCCTTTGGTCAGTACTCCAGAAGGCAACGGTGGGCTTGCTGAGTCGTTCTACCCATGTAATTGTCTCCAAATGAACAGAAATTTAAAAATATAAATACGACTGTAAAGTCGTTTGAAGATGATTTCGTCGGTAGAGAAAATTTTCTTTGCTGAATCATCTTTTGTTAACTTATCAAATAAGTAAAATATAATTTTGCCATTCATATTAACCAGTAGCATGACTATTTTTAAGGGACATACAAAATGTTTCAATAAGTTAGAATCAGCCATTTGATTTTCATCGCTTCTTCCTAAAGAAGTGTATTTTGAACTGGCCAAAGTACACATGGCAATTTTGTTTGTTAAAATATGGATCATTCTCTTGTCAGGATTATAATAAATGGTACCGGATTTCACCAGCTAATGTAAGTGTAGAACCTGGGCACTGTGGTAGAATGTAATTCCATATTAGATAAGTTTGTTTTAATTATCACACAGTGATGCAGTATTAACAACTGGTTGACGTCTCGAGCATACATTATCGCCAATCATAATCATATCAATTTAGTCACACTGTTTCACAATTGATCTCACATATTTTCTCTCTTTAGCTCCCTCTCTCTCCAACTTCCCTTTGTTGTTTATGGCTACTTTCCATATCTCTACTATAGGCGTTGCGTCATTACGATTATTCGTGTGCGGTGTTGAATCGATAAAGCAAGCTTCAGTGATTAAACTCTCTGTCTCTCCACTTGACTATATTACTTTCTAATACTCTCACCCTGTCCCACCCCATTTTATGATTACATGCAAGTGAATGCAATGCAATGGCTCAGCTGTGTTTTCTAAATTGTTTAACTTAGGTGGGTTCAGTTATTTTAGGCCTAGCTAAGCTTTTGTGTCCCGATAATGTAGTTGACGTCAATCTAGTAGCTTGACTGACTTATAGTAGCTGACGTCACAGTGGTCACATGATATTTGGTGAATTATATTATTTTTCTTAATTGGATCTGCTGGGTCCTTAAGCTGACAGTCTATGTCTCTGAGAGAGTTGGTTGGTTTAAATGCACCCCTGATTCCAGCTTCTTTGAAAATCTTACTTAAGGTCTCTGACATCCCTTCTTTACGAGGCAGTATTACAGAGGCTTTGAATTCTGTATTATTACTTTTTAGAGGTGCTCTTTCTTTTTGTGATAAGTTGTTTTCTTATTTCTTCTGGCGTTTTAGTGTGTCAATGCACACAGGACTCTGACTTGTTCATCAGTGGTTTTGTCTATTTCACTTAATGCTACCTCCCTCTACACTAGGAATGACATCCTCACGTTTTAATCTGTCAACAGCTGCATTGACGTTTAATCACTTTTCAAGTACTTTTATTTCTTCAGAACTTAAGGCTCTTGTTGAGAGAGGTTAATTAGCCACTTTGTTTTATTGTTGACTAACGATTTTTCACTAGTGAATTCTTCCCAATTAGCAGAATATTTTGCCTTGAAACATCTAAAAGGTCAAGTTGAGCTGAATTCAACAAATCCAAAATTTCTCAAAAAATTCAGCTGATTAATGGAAGAAAAATATCCTGCTAAATGGGAAGAATTCACTAGTGAAAAATCGTTAGTCAACAATAAAACAAAGTGGCTAATTAACCTCTCTCAACAAGAGCCTTAAGTTCTGAAGAAATAAAAGTACTTGAAAAGTGATTAAACGTCAATGCAGCTGTTGACAGATTAAAACGTGAGGATGTCATTCCTAGTGTAGAGGGAGGTAGCATTAAGTGAAATAGACAAAACCACTGATGAACAAGTCAGAGTCCTGTGTGCATTGACACACTAAAACGCCAGAAGAAAGGAGGAAACAACTTATCACAAAAAAGAGCAGCTGAAGAAGCTTGAAGAATGACATTATCAACTAGTTCAAACATGAATTCAGGGTTCATATGTAGCATTTTCAAGGATACAAATAACCAGTCAAAGGTGATCTGGCTACCAATCTCATAGTCGGCAATATAACTTTCGTTGCATTGTCGCCAAGAGTGGTGCTTTTCAGATGCCCATTGCTTTTCAGTAACCTAGAGGTTGAAATCTCACATTTGACCAACTGCATCTGTGTTTACCAGTTCACATGCTCTAATGGAAAAAGGTGCATTATTTCATATGGGTACAAAATATTTTGTCGTGCTTTCTAAAGAAAAAACTTTTTCTGGGCTTTCCGCTAACAAAACTTGTATTGTATTAATAGGTTTTCATCTACGTTTTTTTTTCCGTTAAGCATTTCTCATTTACAGGGTTTCATCATGAGATGACATTGATCAGATAACCATTGGGAACCATCAAGTCAGTACTGGAAACCTATTTCATCCTGGTTTTGGACTCATTGACCATACGCACTCACCAACGGTGTTCAAACCCAAAAACCTTCCTGTTACGAGGCGAGCTCGTGGACCACTAAGCCACTGGAGCCCGATCCATTGGTCATGCGTTCCAACCTCTGCCAATTCATGATATAGCGCGACCAGCAGCCATTGTCATCGCTGGCGAGTATCTATCCTCACACCCAAACTTCTGCACCTCACCGATCCCGAATTCTCACTAGAGGCCAAGTAACTACCTACCTGAATAGGAGCTGTCGCTAGTCAATATCAGACTGATAATGAAGTGTTGATTTACAAGGGTTTGGTTGGCTTCGGGATTTCATCATGAGGTGACACCAGTCTAAGAGCTCGCCTTTTAATTTGAAGGTCATGCATTTGAATCCTAGTGGGTGCGTACTGATGAAGAGTCGTGAACCAGGGCGAGACTACTTTCCAGTATTCTCAGGCTTTCTAGTGGTCCTCTAATCGATATCAGCTCATGAATAAATCCTGTAACCAATCGAATCCCCACAAACCATAACCTGAATATCAATGAGATGTTCGCATAGGGTTCTAGTGAGAAGTCGTGACCAGTAGGGTGCAGCTGGTCGTGTGTGAGTACAAATACTCACAGATGACATTCGCCAGGGGTCACGCTATATCTTTAATTGGCAGAAGTTGGAACAAACGGGCCACTGTTATGGGTCTCAGTTGCTTAATGGTCTACGAGCTCGCTTTGTGATCAGAAGGTCCTGGGTTCGAACAGTGACGGTGGGTGAGTACTGCTGAAGAGCCGCAAATTCAGATGAAACGGGAGGCTGTCCAGTGCTCCCAGGTTTTCCAATGGTTCTCTAACTAATTTCAGCTCATGATGAAATTCTGAGTATATTTTATTAGTTAACTTTGTGAGTGATATTCACAAAGAAATTATTCACTTCTGACAATGTTATTTGTTTTGTAAGAAAAATAAAAACAAAAAAAACAAAAACAAAAAGCTTTTATTCACCTGTCTAAACATATAACTAGTCAGTGGTTCATCAAGCTTTGGTTGCCTTTCTATAAATTCGAATAAATCCATACCAATACCATGTGATTCCATAACAAGATGATACGCTTTAATATCTTCATTTGCCCAATCTAATAGACGTACAATTGCTGGATGTTTAAGTTGACATAATATCCATATTTCTTGAGGTATATGACATAAATTAGTGGTAATATCATTCTGTAGATGAAGATTCAGAAAAATAACCTTCATTTAATTTGTAATTCTTATTTTAAATACTCATTTGTTTACTTCTAGTAGAGGTGTGACTCACTGGCTGAAGTACCCAAATTCCAGTCGAAGGGTTCAAAGTTTGAATCTCTCTTCACTTACTTTAGCCTGAGTAACTGGATAGTATTGTAAGCATTCACACAATAAGTGTGTGCGGTTTACTGGTCTATACTGGATAACTAATTATCCGGTGAATCGGTGGTTCAGTGGTAGAATATTCTCCAACCACTCACATGGTTAGGTAGTAAGCGTGGTAAAGGAGGAAAGTTAAACATGATGCTAACAAGCTAATCCTGTTAGAGAATAACATCACGCTTACTGAAGTCTTAAAGCTCAATCTTGAAGCCATATGTTCCACCGGGTAAGCAATGGGATGAAGAAAAAAACTGATTAACTCAGTTTTCTTCACTGACAGAAAAAACAGCAAGGGAATAGTGGAAAGTATTCGATATTGATGTATGTACTACATTCTCCAGTCCAGGATTAGCGTTAAGGTGGCAGAAGAATTAGTCACTATTTAACTCGAAGATTCCTTACAGTGAACTGACAGCTGAAATAAAGCTATGCTCTTGTTAAAACTAAAAATAATATAGTTTTTAAAAGGAATATAAAATAATAGGCAATGTGAGAAATATTTTAATTGAATTTGAGATTTTCCCGTCGATTAATTGGACCGAAGTGCTCGGTCTCAGGTTGACATTCTGGCTTCTTATGCAGATACCTCGACAATGTCTGGGCATTTGGTTAGTATTTAATTGGTGGGTGGTGACTAGCAGTGGAATACAAGAAGCCGACATGTCAACCTGAGACTGAGCACTTCGGTCCAATCAATCGAGAGGAAAATCTAAAATTCAGTTATATTTAATATGACCCGCTGCACAAGAGATGGCTCTCGTGGCCCAAGTGGTCTAGTGGATAACGCTTTGGTGTTTAAAACTATAGGCACTAGGTTTGAGTCCCGGTGGGAACATCATCGCTCACTGAGAAATGCAGGTACATCCAGTTGACGAGTCCCGAATGGGACGAAATGCGCATCCTGGACTCCGCTGGTAGTCACCATTCACCAGTTGAATGTGAGAAATAGGTAAGAGAGTCTAATTCTGGCATCTTATTTATATACTTTGTGGTGTCCTTAATTTTTATGATCTGGACTAGAACTGAACAATTTATGCACATCTTGCATAATTTCTACAATGTTAAGTTTATTTTTTTTTACCAGACAGTATCCTAGCAACGACATGTAATTTAATACTAACGAAATAGAACCAAAAATTTGGATAATTATATATATGTATGTCAGTGTTCAAATGGAAATTAGAGAACATGTATATCTTCATAATTAAAGATACATTTAACTTATGAATGATGTAATAAGATAAAGCTTATCATTATGCATAAACATACTGAAAAGAGGTTTGTTTTTCATTAAACAATATGAAGATCACTTATATTAGGTGAATATTTGTACTTTTCGATTATTAAACGTGACTATTCGTCGTTGAGTAGATTTAAATAGGTATTATAAACTTATTCTTCATTTAGATTTCATCACGATTCGAGAATTTTTGAAGGTTAGGAAGTTTAAAACAGTTATTCCCTTCTAGCATGAGATTGTTGAGAAATGCGTACCATTAAGGCCTCTATCAGGGAATCAAACCAAGACCTTTATTTTGTGAGACCAGTTTGAATAGACACAAAATGTTGTTCTGCTATGTTAAAATTGAAATTATAAACGATGTTAGAGTACCAAGTGGTATTTTACATGGGTAAAGTATAGTATTAACCACTTAATAATAATCTTCCCTTAAATAAAATTGTCTTATGGGGTAGGTTGACTTTATAACAGTAGAGAACTTTGGTGTGTTCTTTAAACTGGGTGCCTTTGTTGTCCCTGTGAAAAACTTAAAGGTGAATCGCCTAAAGGGTTGTTCATGGATGAGAAATACCTCATTTCTAATAACCTTGGATGTATCAGTTGTTTCTGAAGAATTTCGTATCACTGTTTATACCTTTATTCCAATTAATAATTTCGTCGACCTGATTTTGACCTATCAGTGACGTAGGGAGAATACAACTTATCTCTTTTGATTGCTAGTCAAGAGATATTTGGTCTATCCAACGTAATGTTTTTCATTCTTGATTTAGTTTATTTCTTAGGTGACGACGGTTTCGTCTTCTTTTTCTTTTGATCCTACCTACCTAGTTTATTAGCCTGTCTTAAGCTCAGAAAAACAAAAAGGCTGAGTATGAGGCTAGCTACTTTACCTCGAAACCTCAGGCCAGTCTCTATTGAAAGTTCACAGCAGAGATAAAATGGAAAATAATAGAATGTTAGGCCCACATAGTATCGGGGAAAGCAACTGTGCTCAATTGCAGACGACATCTATTTTGTTGAGAATGGACATTTCATCCTTATCTGTTGAGTTTCTGCATACTTATGCTTCTAATTCGCTCACGTTTATTTAGTTTGCCAAAGCATCCAAAAGTGATATTTTGTTTTCCAGTTTTCGTCATAATGTAAATTATTTTGTTGAAAATATCCTGGGTTAGGATTAATTTTTCATCCGCGTAGCATATCCAGATTTTCATTTGGTTCATCAAACTACTGCTGCGACTGAATTCACAAAACAATTGCCAATTGAATGCATACATCATATTCAATTATCTTAATGCAGAGTTTAGTGATCGTTTATAACAAGAAGAACATAATCATGAAAGCGATTTCACAAGTAAAACTTCCTGAAATCGCCTCCAGATGTATTTATTTGTGTACATATACTTGTAGTAACGTATGCGCTAGAAAAACAGAGATGTCTGTAAATAATTGAGTTTCTTTTTATTTGTTATGAAACTTTTCGGAAAAAGCAGCTCGAATTCCTAGTGGAATGAATGATTTTTAGATATCTACTAGATATAAGTTTTGCTATCTACTACTGAAATACAACCTTGACATCACCAATTGTACATTTCCACTTTACGAAGATGCAACAGCAATCTATCAACTGACATTTAACTTATTTGCATAAAGGCGTTTAATAAGTTCATCTTGTAGTGCTCTAATAGTCTGACATTTTCCTACAGCTTCACTCATTACGCCTTCATCCTATCTTTTCACGTGTTCCTAGACAGTATTTTAACTTCTTTAACATTAATTTAGATTGGTGATGAAATTGTTTGTAATCTGGAAACTGCTTCTATTGATATAATGGATGATGACTAAAGGTGAAATGAAAATTTGGCTGGTAGTGGGGTCCGAACCATACGGCTTTAGATTACCCACCCATTAATAGCCTAAATAAGCTAAGAAACCCAGCTGCTAATTTTTGTTTTGATTACAGCTTGATTCCACACCGTATTTTTGGTACAAGAATGGAATTTTCAGCATGGATATCGGTAGCCCAAATTTCGCAAGCCGATCATAGATATCAGGTGTGCGTAGGCGTGGGCTCGAACCCCAGACCATGTGCATGGTCGGCGAGAGTCCTAACCACTGTGCCACCGACGCACAGTAATCCTTTCACTGTAATCACCATTGGTTATACTCAAGTGTCATATGACGTGAATGATGCTTAACTGTCAGTTCAGCACCACTATTGCTTTTCAGGTAGTTTGATTTTACTGTTTTAATTCTTATACTCAATGCATAGTCTTATTGTCATGTTTCTTTTTTATCCTAATAGGATACTGTCTATATTAGATCTTAGTCGTTCTTTCCTTTACCAGGTATCCTATCAATGTTGCTTTAGCATTATTGCATCAAGGCAGTTTCTTTTTTATGTTTCATGGTGGATTTAGGTAGTAGGATTGGTCATCACAAAACAGTTTTATACCATCTTACTTGTGGTGAAGGATGAAAATGAAGAGACCTTTATCGTGTTAATTTTCCCAGTGAGCCGGACGGATTTATTTACACTTGACAATGAAACCTTAAAATAGCATTTTATTAAATGTGCTGTAATTTCTGATGGAAAATTATATATTTAAAAAAATAGACGTATTGTATCATTACTTATTTTAATCCTTTTGATTCCAAGGGGAGCATGTGGCTTCAAGCTTATCATTCTGTGTAAACTAGTGAAATATATTATCCAATCCACAATGCTCAAACTTTTTACTGATATTAATTCAAGCTTTTAAGCTATGCAGTTTCAGTAGCAGTGGCTTAATTTTGCAGAGTGGGGGTGCTAGCCTCCCCTTTTCTAAGGGCTTGCTATCAGATAAATGAGGTTTAGGAGTGCGTCAGCCGGAGGTCGAACCTCGGACCACATGAGGCGTGGTTGGCAAATACTCTAACACTATATCACCTATGCTAATGTAAAAAAATGTAATAGCTCCAAAATCATTTAGAACAGAATACGCTTTGTGTAATGGAAGGTGAGTGAGTTCAAAATATCAGCCTGGTATCTTCTACATAAAAAACTGTTATCAAATCAGACGTAGTTTCATTGCATATTAGTCCAAGATAGCACGCCCGATTTCTGTCAACAAAATAGATAAAAAGATTGGTAAGAAGGGAAATCATAAAATGATGACTGACTGGTTTCAACGTAGAAATGCTGCACATTTGTGCAGCATTTCTATTTGCCACACTCCTTGTTTGTAGCGCACAAAGCAAGAGAAGAGAGTAAAGAGCGGTTCAAAAGATAGAGATAATAAACAGAAGTATGAGGGCAAAAAACAGCAGTATGGAAGAACAATACAGTTTTGTTCGATATTATAAATCACAAAGACTGAATGCATCTGCACCATCACTGAGAACGACTTTGAGCCTTATCATCAGTCGTCTGTCTCCAGCCTTCACTGGTTTTTGCCGCCCCGAGGCCCCCAACCAGGGAGCCAGTCTACACCTGCCTACTTCCTATCTGGTTTAAACTAACATTTGTGAATTTCTTTGACTAATCAAGCTGCGGTTTGGTTTGACCACCAGCCTGATCGTATGTCAGCTAACA